ACGAGAAGACCCACCCGCAGAGAGCGTCGTCCCACGAGCGCTCTACCTGAGCAAGCCCTGAAGCTTGGGGGACCTCCGAATGGAGGCCCTCGTTCATTCTACCAATCAGAATCTGCCGAGCAGAGGTCCTAGAGCTAGAAGGGGAGCCACGCAGGGATTGGAAGGTGGAGTGAATGGAATCTAGGGCGAGGGGATAAGAAGGCAGGGCGTCGGCGGAAGCCAGGGAAAATCGATGGGGGAGGAAGGAGCTCAGGGGATCATGTCCGTAATCAAGAGGAAGAGCAGGAAAATGGTGAAGAAGGGTAGGGAGAAGACTGTGGCAAGATACGTAATGTAATGGATCATCCCCGCCAACACATTGGCATCCAAATACACATATACCAGGACCTTGTTTGTATCTCCTTGTAGTGTTCCAACTGTTGCAAATAGTCTTCAACCGGCTAACTAGCATGTACACAGGAACCATCTTGGAGGCGCGGAGAAAGAGGCGGAAGGAGGTGTCAAGCTCCATCTCGGAAGACAACGGAAACCACTTCTTAATTCGCGGCGCCAGCACTCTCGACACAGGTGCAGCACATAAGTCAACAAACATCATCTTGGCGAGTTTACGACGACAATCATGAGGAAGGCGAGAAGGGAAATTCGATATCGTGTAATCCTCCATCAGCTGCACAAAAAGCGAGTGCCTGAAGAAGGGGCTGCACCTGTAGGCTGGCGCGAATTCGTCGGATTCTCTGGAAGCATGAAACTTCTGGAGACAGCCCTGGAAAACCGCGGAGCAGTGGGCGACCCGCAGCCTGGCAGCGAGAGATTGCACCTGCATCGACGAAGTCTGCACAGAGAAACCAAACTCCATCATTCTCGGAAATAGACCAGGGGGGATCGAGTGGCGGGGAGCACACGTGTACAATTGCTGAACCTCGCGCTCGACCTGAAGAGCGGACTTGGTGGGGCGAGAGCCCTGACTGATATATGAGGTAACGGGCAATACGTATCTGTTCTGCGCGCACACGCTCATGATGAAGCCCTCCCCCATTTTCTTGGCGGTGTAAGCCCTACGCATGAGCTTGTTGGCAGCTGCTCGCCAGGAAAGCTCTGGGCCTCGGTGGCCAAGAATAAAGCCAAGATGCTTGCCATGCAGTTGAATCTTGAAACTTCGCACTCGGATGCCACGCGCACGGAACAGCTGAGGTGCATTAGAGAGCAATTCGGGATTATGAAGGATGATGACGCCCTTCTTGAGATTCAAGATCAGGCCCGAGGAGATCCCAAAGGTACATATTGCACGCGCCACGCCACGCAGGTCTGCGATGATGTCGCAGGCCGTCAGACATAAATCATCAGCAAATGCAGAGGCGACTTTTGGCATAGATGTAGATAAAGTAGCGAGATGTTGGAGAAGGGGGTCCAGACACAGGGCAACTAGAACCCCAGAAAGCGGGCATCCTTGTTTAACTCCTCTAAGAGCGGTGAACTCGTGGACCCTGGACCCGCGACATTGGATCTGACAAACCGTATTCTTGTACAAGGTGGAGATAGCGATGACGATGCATTCGGGAAAATGGTGCGCTCTCAAAACTCTCAAACTCCAGGAGTGTAGGATCGAGTGGAAGGCCGCGCGGAAGTCGAACATACAGCTGCCAGTACGCTGGAAGCCAAAGACGGCGCCCCAGAGGAAGATATGGAAATCAGTCTCGATTACATTGTCCATGATCTGCCTACCTTTGATGAGCCCCCGCTGCGAACGGTGCCCACGATCGGCAAGCGCATGGCCAATGGGCGCAGCTATCATTGCACTGACCGGCTTGTTGTCTGTGCTGGACAAAGCAATCGGCCTGGCATCCTCGGGCTTCCTGAAGACATGGTCGCTGTCCTCGGAGGCACCCTTGGCCAAGAAGGCCAAGGGCGCAAAGTTGAAAACAGCGCTGACTGGCCTCCCAGCGAGCACATGCTCGTAGACCGCGAACAATCAATGACTCTTGTGCGTCGGGTCCTGCAGCTCTCCAAGCACTGTAGAATAACCCATCTGGCCCAGGGGCCGAATCTTTTTTTTTTTTTTTTTTTTTTTTTTTTTTTGGAGAGGAGGTCCTGGAACTGGTCGAAGGTAAGTACCCGAGGGGGACGTTGATGAGTGCTATTTGTGAACTGGTGAGGATCGTCGGGGAGGGGAACGATACTCTGCAGAAAGCCTTCACCAGGAACAGGGCAGCCACGACCAGCGGAGAAGACACAGCCCGAGTGCTCTGTGAGCACGAGCGCACAGGCGCCAGGGTCTTCGATGGTCTGCCCGTGCGGACCAACGAGCCCCTTAAGAACAACAGAGCGGTTCGCGCTCTTCCAAGCCTTGGCCAATCGCTTGACTCTCATAATGTGATAGTATGCACTACTATTTCCTGCTGCTGCTGCCTGCTGCGATTCACGTTCTCGCCTAGAGAGCTCAGCCGTCGCGAGGCTACTGAGGTGAGAGTGAAATTGGGCCCAGCGAGACCAGCATTGCCCGCTCGCAGAATACAACCCGCCGAGCACGGGGCATGCATGCACCGCAGACTGAACAGCGCGGCGAAGAGAAGCACGATGCCCCCGAACGAGCTTCAGACAACAAGCGAATTTCTCGTTTCTCGTAGTGGCTCTAGTAGAGAACATCTCGGCTTTGGTTTTCTGAGCGGCGGCAACCATCAGCGACTTCACTTCTTGAAGCTTCTCGGGTGGGCCCTCGCTAAAAGACGGGCCATTGAAAAAATCATCGAAGAACTTCGCGAAGGACGGACGCTTGAAGATCCAAGCCGGCAAGTGCACACCCTTGTCTGGCCTCCACGGCCTGATAGAAAAGTAAACAAGTACATGATCAGAGGGGAAGGACATGTCCCATATTTCCCATGCAGTAGAAGACGTAGGACACATATCGAGGATATCGACAGAGGGGAGGTTACTGTAGATGCGGTCGAGCCTGGCAAAGGACTTGGACGGAGGCTGCGTGACCACGCGACGGCGCGTGTACTTCTATTGCTCAAGCTCTGCGAACTCGGGAAAGATCGTGCGGAAGCAGGCCGCGCGCCTAGCAGGTTGAGATCTTGCAGTCCCCTCAGTGGACTTAAATCGACATTCCCCTTCTTCATGGCAATTGAAGTCCCCGAGGAGGAAGACGGCGGCGGGGTGATGGCCCAGGGCCCGGGCGCGAATCCTCAGGAAGAGCGAGCGGACTTGAAGTTCGGGGAGTTCGGGGTCGATTTGAATGTTCACGATTTGCACCGCTCCTTTAGGGCCCCAAAGAGTAACAATAGCGATGCGGGCAGGAACACTTCCCACGAGTTGGTGGGAGTCGAACTCGCCGAGGATCTCACGATTGATTGAAAAAAACACCCCACCAGCAATCGGGCGAGCGCAGAATGACCCCAGGAGGAGATGTTTTTTGAACTCGCGCTGCAGATTCACGAGGTCCCCAGGCGTTCCACGCGTTCCCTGAAGGCAAACAACTTCGCGATTAAGAGCAAGACTGCGTAACCTGTGGAATGTATGTAGAACCCGGACTTGGTCATCATACAGGGGCCCGAGAAAAGCTCGAGTGTTCCACGTGGTAATACGAAACGCATGTTCAGGAATATACTGAGAATATTGAGAGGGGGGAGGGGCGAACATCTCCGACGCCTCTGCAGACTGCTGGCTGGCGGAAGGCTGCGACGCATGACATAGAACTGAATTCTGGCTGCTGACCTGAGAAGCACCAGTGGAGAGAGGGGAAGGAGCGCCGACGGAGCCCCAGCAGCCCCCGCTGCTATCATTCACGCCGGCGGCAAAGTTACCTTCCACGCACAGGGAAGCGGACGGAGGAGGAGAAAAAGGACAGAGCAAAGGAAGATTGGCCAGAGCAGCAGTGCCATGATGCCTCACTTCAGAGGTCCTCAACGTTGGCGATGGCATCGGCCCGCTCCTTGGAGATGCCCCAGAAGAGGAGCGCGTCGCACGTTGGCTCGAACTTGAAGGTGTCGAGGCCTGAGGAGGTCGCCTGATACAGCTCGAAGATGTCGTGCTCGGTGATGACATGCAGCACGCCCTTGTGGCCGTTGGCTCCCACTTTGTGGGTGGATGCCCAATGCTCGGACTTCACGAGCTCGTCTTTGACGGTCGCGTAGATGGCAGACAATGCGCGCTTTTTCTGCCGAGCGTGCAACGGCAGATCGCCACGAATACGAATAGGATGAAGAGACCCGTCACGAAAACCTCTCCATTGCATGCCCGCACCATTGGCACGCTGTTGAAGCACGAGGGCGTCCGTCTTGTTCTTGAAATTCAGCTTGCAGGTCTGGCTGATGCCGTGGAACTCAGCCGTGACAACTTCATCGCGGAGCTCCTGCGGGCAGGCGGTCTGCATGTGTAACCAGTGCGCCTGCCGCGTCTTGGCCAAGAGTGGGCGAGGGAACGTGCCCACAAACTTCACTGTGGGGTCTCCCATGTCTTCGTCTGAATCGAGCCCTGCCACACGTCTTACTTTACCACCAGCACCGCGTTGACGATATGTGCTGCCTGGTGATGAACCGCTGCAAGTACTTGCTGCTGAGTTGTTGTCCTCAAGGGACTTGATCTTGGCGCCCTGCTGGTTGACGAGGTCGCGCAGTAGTTGAAGCTCGGAACCTTGATGAGAGAGTTGTCCTTGCAGTCCAGCGACTGCGACCTGAATTTCTCCCGAGAGGGCAGACGTGGTCTCCGACGTTTGCTTGTCGAGCGTGGCTTGAAGTTGAAGGACCAGCTCTCCGTTTGCACCCGCGCCAGACCCCGCCATTGCACGAAGTGTGAAGGTGAGCAAAAGAGACTGCCAGACTCCAAGAGTCTTGCCTGCCGCGGAATAGCGGTATCCCTTCAAGCCAATGCGGGCACAGCCCGCAGTCAGCGCGGTCTTGAGCCAAAATGGCTACAGAAGGAGGAGGAGGAGGAGGAGGAGGAGGAGGAGGAGCTGGAGGACAAGGAGCAGGAGGAGGAGGAGGAGAAGGAGCAGGAGCAGGAGGAGCAGGAGCAGGAGGAGCAGGAGCAGGAGGAGCAGGAGCAGGAGCAGGAGCAGGAGCAGGAGGAGGAGGAGAAGGAGGACGAAGAGGAGGAGGAGGAGGAGTTTTGGGACGCCTCCGCAGGGCAGGGGGGCGGCGGTGCGGCGCGCAGTTGGCGCCGTCGATGCACCCGCGAGCGCCCGGGCTCCTCCAGCAGCTACCAGCCGCCCGCCTTCCAGGGCCTGCCTCGCGCGCCGTCGCCATGCCAGGGCCTCTCCTGGGCGCCGCAGGAAGTGAACACGTGAAGCAGGAAGGCGGGCCGAGGCTGAGGCAGGCTGAGGCTGAGGCAGACTGACGCTGAACAGAGGCAGGCTGAGGCTGAGGCTGATGCAGGCTGCGGCAGAGGCTGAGACAGGCTGAAGCCGAGGCTGAGGCCGAGGCTGAGACAGGCCGAGGCCTGGGCCGAGGCAGGCCCTCCCAGAGAGCACCAAGACACGGCAAAGGCGCATCGATTCTTCAAGCAGGGAGGCGCCTGAGGTAATTAGGTCGGGATCTGGGGATCCAGCAATGCCCAGCTTCAACGACCGGCGCGTGGAGGGGGGAATGCAAGACGGAGCCAGGACGAGGATAGAATCGGGCGAGGATGCATCGAGAATCTCTGAGATCCTGCGGCTCTGGAGGATGCCTCGGGCGCCGCGGCCTCCCCAGAGCGCTCCTGGAACGCTCCGAGCGCTCCAGAGCGGACTTCTCCTCGTCCTGGCCCCGCATGCGGACGGGGCGGGCCATCTCTCCAGGCTCGGGAGGGCCTGCGGCCGTCGGGGGAACTCTCTTTGGGCCCCTCCCGAAGGCACGGCACACTTCGCAGACGCCGCGGGCGCTCCTGAGGAGCCCCCGCCGCCTGCTGACTCGCTGCTCGGGGACGGACAGACCTCCCTCTCGCAAAACGTGGTCCAGTGAGAACGCCCTCGGGCCCAAACCTGGCGGGCGCAGGCCTGGAAGATGACGGCCGCGGCGCCCCCCCGGAGAACCGAAAGTCAAAGCGGAAAATTTACGAATCGACGCGTCAGGGTGGGGCTTCTCTCCACCCCCGATCTCTCGGGCGGCCCCCGGGGGAGCAGCTCGGGCCCCCTCGAGGGCCACCTTCTGGCAGCCCTCGCTGCGCCCCTCCTCGCTGTCCCTCCTTTGGAGTCCCTCCTCCTCCTCCTTCTCCTCCTCCTCCTCCTCCTCCTCCGCCTCCTCCCCCCCTGGGCTCGTCGCCGATCTCCTGCCAGGACTGCTCCTGCCAGGACTTCTCCCGCCAGGGCTGCTCCTGCCAGGGCTTCGCCCCGCCCTGCGAGGGCTGCTCTCCGGCGGGCCACTCCTGGAGGCAGAGGCGACCCAGAGATCCGATCTCCTGATTCTTTTCAGTGCGGGGCCCTTGGACGTCTCGACCCCTTCCCCAGGACCGGGTTTTTATCCTGACTAGTTGTTGGACGGTCCTGGGGCCCAGCGAGGGCCCCCAGAGGCCGAACACCGCGAAAAACCTCCGTCTTGATTTTGCAACGCGTGGGGTCTGAGCAATTTCTTAGGGTGGAGGGCTCAGGGTGAAATCCATATGGGCTTCTGCACCTCGAAAATCAAACCGTCTTGTGACTATCCTTCTTCAGATTCAGGCCTCGAAAGCCCATCGCGACGGCATTTCAGATTTCACCCAAATGCCCTCCACCCAAAGAAGATGCTCGGTGGATCTCTGGGAGCGGCAAGAGTCAACTTCCGGAGCTCCGCGCGGATATCTCGGATCGGTGCTGGGCCCCCCTCCCTGGCGCACGGGGCGCGAGGGGAGCGGCGCCAGAGGCGCCGCCACAGGGGGGCCCCGGGCGCCGCTCCAGCAAAAGTCCGCGCGGACCTCCGAAAACTTTCGGTTAGGGCACTGTCACGCGGAAAGCATCCGGAATTCGGAGAGGAAGTCCGCGCGGACCTCCGAGAAGTTACGGTTGGGGTACTGACACGCGTAAAGAACCCGGAATTCAAACAGGAAGTCCGCGCGGACCTCCGAAAATTTACGGTTGGGGCACTGACACGCGGAAAGCACCCAGAATTCGGAGAGAGTCATGCTGGCAAGAGCCCCTGAGAACGCCGTAGGCTGCTCAGGCGCATGCTGCAGCAGCGACCACTGCAGCTCATCTGAAAAGGCAACCTACGGTTAGGGCATTGGACTACGAACCATCGGATAAGGAATCTGGGGTCTGGAAGCCGGTGGAGCTCCAAGCGTGGGCTGACCGTGGATATCGCCACCGCCCTCAACAGAGAAAGAACCCTGGGCACATTCCTTGGCGGACGCCCCCGCCGCATGCTTACGCAGCCCCACCTCAGCCCTTTGAGCTAAGTCCCAGGTTGGTCTAACGATTTTCGTCTTCCAAAGCCCTCTTCCCTTCGGAGAGGGGTACCGTCCCCCTCCCCCCCCTGAGGTTGTTTTGTTGGGGGGTCGCGGTGCTTTAGGGGGTCCTTTTTAAACCCAAGATGGCTCCAACAGGGCCCCCGATGCTCCAAGACTGCCTCCAAGATGGCTCAAGATAGCAGACGATGGTTCAAGATAGCTATCGACATGCCTCCAAGAGGCCCGACAAGGGACACAAGACGGTTTCAAGTGCTTTCCGGGCCCACTCCAGACCCCTCAGAGGCCACAATCCTTCAAACGCATATGAACAACCAATGATTTTAGCCATTTCGCCTTTGCGCTTCCGATGCGCTTTTGAGGCCTCAGGATGGCCCCAAGAGGGGCCAAAGAGGCCACCCAGACGGCCCCAAGAACGCCCAGGAGTCTAAGAGCGCCCCAAGAAGCGATTTTGATGACCCCCCCTCTTTGGATCGATAGTTTCCAAGACGGCCTGAAGAGCGCCCCCAGTGTGTCCCACGAGGGCCTCAAGAGGCGGTTTGCCTCCTCCTCCTCCTCCTCCTCCTCCTCCTCCTCCTCCTCCCCCTCCTCCTCCTCCTCCTCCTCCTCCTCCTCCCCTCGCAGGCCCCATGGATGGCCCGAAAAGGCCCTCCAAAACCACCCCCTTACTCCCAGAGATCTCTCTGTTCGCCCTGGTTGCCCGCTGTTTTCTCTTCGCTCCCTGTGCCTCTCCGCCCGTCTCTCGCCGGCTCCCACGGGCCACGCTTCTGAACGGGCTGGTGGGCACTCGCGAGGGCGTGAGGCATTCTGTGCCCCTCGAGCCTGCGGAAAAAACACACGCTGTGTTTTATCCACGGACTCTTCTCAGCACGGTCCGACGGCCAGTCGCCGCTCTTCCACTTGGGCTTCTTGCCGCCGCCGGGGGCCCTCTCCCTGGTGGCCCGCTCGCCGCTCGCGACCTCGGCGGCGATCTGGGCCAGCTCCGGCGGCACGTGCTGCCCCGCGTCCTCGAGGACCTGCCCCCAGGTGCTCGCGCGCCCGGGGGGGGGCAGCAAGCGTGGGGTGCGGCCACGCGCGCTGCCGACGCGTCGGGGGCGCGCAAACGTGGCGATCCGTGGACTTGGCGCGCGGTGGCCACGTGCACGGATCGGGGGAGGCGCCCTCCCTAAAATGCGGCCGGTGCCGCCTCGTTCGGCGGCGGGAATCCGCGACTTCCCATGGAAACGAGGCCCGTCGCCAATCCACGCCCCCTTGATCCATGTCTGCGATCGCCGGAATACACGGACGGACCTAGGACAGAAGAACATCTTCAAGAACATGCGACCCTCCAGCGGTCCAAACACCCCACACCAGAGGAGCGCTCGAGGGTGCCCTCCCCCATGAAGCACAAGAGCATCCAACAAACACGAGCAACATTGGGGTACCCTCCCGAGCCGACCTCGATTTTATGCCTCGGTCCGACCGCCGCTGCCCCCAGTGAAACCTCTGCGAGCCTGCGGGGCGAACTGCCCATGACCCAGACCTCGGGAGGCTCGCGCGGCGCAGTGGCTATCCTCGCGCCTCTTGGCGGGGAGGCAAGAGGAGGGGAACGACCAGAGGGGCGGGGCGGAGAAGGAAGGAGGCGCGAACCGCGCAGGGGGCCGCAACGGCAACCGCACCTCCTCGCGCACCTCTCTCGGGCCTGCGGGGGGTCAGTCTCGGGCCCCTGGAGGGCCAGCTTTCTGCAACGCTCGCTGCCCCCCTCGCTTCTGGGGGGCCACGAGGCCAGCAGATGCCGATACCGCTGCTCCCCCCGGACCTCTCTTGGGGTGGTCCGTCTGGCCAGAATCTCGAGGCGGATCCAGCCGTGCCGACGAGGGCCTCCCAGGAGGCCCCCAAAGAAGCGAGAACGAGGCCTTGGTGGCGGCAGCGGTGCCTCGTCCCCCCCTCTTAGTTTGGTACCCCACCGCTGCCGTCCGCCCGACCTTCGCCAGCCCGCCCGCCAGCTCCGGCCACTTTGGGTTGTACTCGAACAGCGTCAGGGCGTGGCCGGTCAGGCCGGAGAGGCCTCGCGCAGTGCGGCCTGTGGCAGGGCGACGAGGTCCGCAGTAGGAGCTCGACCAAAAGAAACCTTCCACAAGAAACCCATCCCTGAGACCCCAGGACGTTTTTGGTGTGGGAACGTCACGCTTTCCATAGCAAAACCATCCAAACCCAAGAAACCCAGGGCACCCTGGAGTCGAGCAGAGTGTCACGCACCCATCGTCGCTGGCCAGGCCCATCCAGGGCCGGGAGAGGCAAGATCAGCGGCACGGCCATAAACTTTCGAGGGTCCGCGAGGATTTCTGGATCGGCGCAGGACCCCATGCCGACCCGTCTTCTACGAGCCAGTCCAGGAGGGCGTATGCCCCGAGCCTGGGGGGTGGGCCTGGCCAGGTGCAGTGGATGTGTGTGTGGATCTCGCCGCCCTCGCCTATGCGGTGGACGTAGTCGTCAACATCTCCCATGTCGTAGATCACGACGTGCGTGATGTCGGGGATGTCCAGCCCACGGCCCATGACGTCCGTCGCCACCAGCAGCTTGAACTCGTTCCTCTTGAACTTGGCCAGGACCTCGTCGCGGTCCCACTGCTTGCGGCCCCCGTGCATCGAGTCGGTCAGGAAGCCCTCGCCGCAGAGCGTGTCTCGGAGCTCGTCGGCGAAGGCCTTGTTGTTGACGAACACCAGCACCTTGCTGCTCTCCTCCTGCAGGGTCTCGCGCAGGTGGGAGTGGAGCAGCTCCTTCTTCGCGGCGTCTCTCTCCTCCCACGCCTCCTGGCAGGATCGGTCAGCATCGCAACGGGGAACCGGATCGAACTGGAAGGCGCGTCGCATCGGGCTGCATCGGCACGAGATCGACACCGCATCGGATCGACCGCGGCGAGGTGCACGACGGCGCCTTGAAAGCACCCGGACGCATCGGCTCGGCGGAGTGTCGGAATCGAATCGGGCCGAGGTGGCCGAAAGCGACGTCGACTCGGGCCGATCGGATCGCAGAAGTGCACCCCGCCTGGTCGAAGACGACCACCTCCTGGACGATGTCCGGGCGGGTGGCCGCCTCGCCCTGCTCGCCCTGGCCCACCCGCAGCGTCACGGGCTCCCGCCCGTCCAGGCAGAAGCTGCTGGCGAGGTCCTGCACCGCCTGCGGAGGGACAGCCAGCGGCACACGCGTTTGTGGCCAGCGGCCGCATGGGATCCCCAAAGATCCAGCGTATTGAACGGATCAAGACGGAGACTGTTCGCGCAGCCTTTGGCCTCTAGGGGCCCTCGCCGGGCTCCGGGACCGCTCCAAAAACGGCTCGGGATGAAAGACCGGTCCTAGGGGAGGGGGGTCGAGACTTCGGCGGGCCCCGCAGTGGATCAAGTCACGACATCGGATCGCTGAGGGTCTCAGACGGCGTGCGGGCAGCGGCGGGGCGCGCAGGAGCAGGCCGAGGCACGAGGGGGCCGGGGGAAGGAGCGCGCGGGTGCGAGGGGGGGGTGGGGGGCTGGGGAAGAGCCTGGGGAGGAGAGAGGGCCACGCTCGGACCATGCAGTGCAGTCGCGAACGTGCCTGCAAGTGGCATGCAGTCAAGTTTGATTGGAGGGGACACGTGGGAGGACACGAGACCCTTCCGAAGGCCACATTGCCGCAGGAATGCCGAGGACATGCGAAACACGGGCACAAAGGCACCCTTGATCTGGAAGGTTAGACCTACTGATCCGACCCGACTGTACACACCGGCCGTGAATGGATAGAAACATGAAGTAATTAGGAAGGCGTTGAAAGTAGGTTGGGCTTCCGCCCGCCACTTGAAGAGAAAGAAAGAGGGGGAAGCCACTCGATGACTGAAGTAGGAAGCCGCATAGAGTAGACTGGAATCTGGGAGTCCCAAAGTACCTGCTCTCACCGACCGAGGCAAGCATAGAATTTCGGAGCTCCGCACGGAGGAACCACAAATAGAGGCCCCCCGCAAGGGGATCGAGTAGACGGGGTCGGAGGATCGCCCCGCATCGACGATTCATCGGCGATGCATCGGCGATGCATCGGCGATGCAGCGCCGATGCCGGCGATGTATCGGCGCCGTCGACGTGAAGCAAGCTGGGATCCGCATCGGGCCGCACCGTCGACGCATCGGCGATGCGGAGCCACTCTTCGGCCCCCTCTGCTACGATCGATCCCACTTGGGAGGCCCAGAAGCAAGCGGCATATGCGCATGCACTTTGGGAGCTCCGCGCGAGTCTCTTGGACCGGCGCCTGGGCCCCGCATGGCCGAGCCGCCGGCGCGGGCCCCGAGGCGCTCCGCGCGCCAAGGAGAGGGTCCCAGGCGCCGATGCAAGACATCCGCACGGACATCCGAAAGTCAATTGGACCAGAGAACAAACGACACCACCCCACCCACGGCCCCACGGGCCGTAGCGTATACCTGGACATCTGGCGTGGGTTTTTGCATGGTATACGCTACGGCCCCCGATGGGCCGTGGCGCAACATGAAGGGCCGTAGGTTGGGTGGTGTCGCTTGTTTTTTGGGCCGAACAGTGTTCATTCCATGTTGTCCTCTTCGAGCCTGGGGCCACGTGGCGGAGAAGAAGAGCATGTGCCTGTCTGGCCTGATCTGCCCCGCGATGCCCTGCACGTCCGCCTGGAAGCCGCAATCCAACATCCTGTCGGCCTCGTCGAGCACGAAGTAGGTCGTGCGGCCGACCGGGGGCTGCTCGTGGTGTCCATGGCCCAAGGCGTCCCCAGCTCTTCGTTCTGTTTTGGAGCGTGTGGGGCCCTCGCCTCCTCCTCCTCCGCCTCCTCTTCCTCCTCCTCCTCCTCCTCCTCCCTCCTCCTCCTCGCCCTCCTCCTCCTTTCCTCCTCCTCCTCCTCCTCCTCCTCCTCATGTTCCTCCTCCTCCTCCTCTTCCTCCTCCCTCCTCCTCCTCGTCATCCTCCTCCTCCTCGTCCTCCTCCTCCTCCTCCTCCGTCCTCCTCCTCCTCCTCCTCCTCCTCCTCCTCCTCCTCCTACTCCCCCTCCCTCCTCGCACTCCTCGTGAGGAGTGTTCCCTCTGGGCCTCGTGAGGAGTGCTCTGGCGGCCATCCTGTCCTCCCTGGAAATCCTGGTTGCACCCTGTGGCCTGGGGACACCTCTGGCAGCACCCGAGCTGAGGGACATGTCGCCGGCCGACAGGAAGTCTGTGAGCCGCCCCGGCGTGGCTGCGATGACGGACTTTGGAAGCGGCCAGGGGGTCTGAGCTGGATACAGTGACCCAGCGATCCGATGTCGTGTTTTTTCAAGCGGTCTGCACTACATGGTCTGCGCGTGGCCCTCTCCCAGATTCCAGTCTACTCTAGGCGGTTTCCTACTTCAGTCATCGAGTGGCTTTCCCTACTTCTGTCTCTTCAATTGGCGGGCGGAAACCCAACCTACTTTCAACGCCTTCCTAATCCCACCAGCCCTCTGGGCGTCGGTGGTTTAACGAGTTTCCTCTTCCACCCCTCCCTCTTCCCCTTCGGGGAAGGGTTTACCCCTCCCCCTACCCCCTCCCCACTGACCTGGACAGGAGGGGCGGGGAGCGGTCAGAGCGTCCAGAACGGCCTCGGCGAGGAAGCCAAAAACATTGATTTTACCATGGTTTTGGCTCCATTTTGGCCTTCTCAGGGGGCAACGCTAATTAAGGCTCCCCTCTTCTTTGATCGATTTCCTCCACGATGGCCGCAAGAGGCCCCCAGGATGCCCGAAGAGGCCGCAGGATGGCCCCAAAATGGCCCCAAGAGGCCCCCCAAGAGGCCCCCAGGATGCCCCCAAGAGACCCCCAAGAGGCCCCAAGATGGCCCCAAGAGGCCCCAAGAGGCCCCCAGGCCAGGAGGCCCCAACGAGGATCCCGAACGGCCCACAGAGGCCCCCCCGAGGCACCCAAGACGCCGAAAAGCTCCTCAGGACGACCCTCTACTCGCCTGGGCGTCGTTTCTGGACGGGCTGGTGGGGATTTTTTTTTCCAGCCGCAGGCGAAAGCGCCAGCGGCGGAAGGTGGCGAACGGGCCGCGGACGCGACTAAATTACCTAACGCGCGCCGGGCCGCGGATCAAGCGGCTCACGACAGCGTCCAGGGGGGCGAAGCCGATGCAATCCAGGTGCCATGACAGCCCCTGAACGGGCATGCAGGTGCGTCCAACAGGCCTGAGGTAGGCACCGAGACGACCTAGCGCAGCCAAAACGGCGCGATAACGTTCCAACGTCCAGGTGCGGACAAGGGAACGACCCGAGGACGTCAGCCCCAGCCTGTCGATGGCACAGACGACGGGGTAATGAGTCCAACGAGGATCCCGACGGCGGCAGCGAGCCGCTGCGCCAGAACGACATCAAGGTGTATCCATGTTCCGAGATAACTACCACACCGAGATGTTTCGGCCCAGACCCAGCGGGTGGAAGGGCACCTGATGCACGCTACCCGCCGAAACGCGGAGTGTGCACACCACATTGTCACAGTGCAGTCCAAAGACGGAGAGCACAGGCGGAACGAGACCGTGTACCTAGGCAAGTCCCACAAAACCACTGATCCAGGGTCGCGGTAGGAAGCCGTCCAGCAATGGGAGTCCAGAGGGCACCGATCCATGGAGCCTGAAGGGTACCACAGGCTGACTGGGAACAAGAACCAACGGAAAAAACTGACGGCGAGCCAGTCGCAACGCAAGAAGCGCATCCAGGGTGTGGAGCATGCGGCAAGACAAAACATCCACAACTGAGATGCGACAGCCCAGATCCGACGAGTGGAAGGGCGTAGAAGAGCACGATACACGGCAGACCCCGAGGAGTATGCACATCTAGGGTGGCCCAGCGATACCCAACCGAGTCGTCTAGCACAGAGGGACGAGGACGCCTTGTACCCGAGACGTGCCCCTCAGAGCCAATGGATCCAGGATGACGGCGGAAGGCCGCGCTTCTTGTTTGAAAGGTCCAGGGTGACGGCGGAAGGCCGATCGTTCGGTTAGAAAGTCCAGGGGGAAACCAGTGGTCAGGCGAGCCGTGGCCCACTGACAGGCCAGGAAGGCCTGGCGGTGAGACAACTACAGTAGGGCCTGAGGCCGCGAGTCCACTGCGGAGAGGCGGTGGACGGTATTGCCGAAGCGCGCACCTGGATCCAAAGGCAGGAGGTGCGCGCATCGGGTGGAGGGCGGCAAAGCGCCGCGATTAGGGGCCCGCGGCGCGGCCTGGGCAGCGCCCGCTGGGATTCAGGAAGTGAAACAAGGCGGGGAGAGAGGAGCCGAGTGACAAGAGGGTGTCGGCCACCGGTGGAGAAAGGCAGTGATGCCAGTGGCAAGTAGTCTGCAGGACGCGCGGTGTCACGCACGGAGCAGACGGTATTACCGAACGGCACCCCAAGGCCAAGGGTGAGAGAGGGTGCCGCTCAGGGGAGGGGAGGCAGAGCTGCCCCAGGTTGAGGGAAAGGGCGGCAGAGGGCCGCGGTGGCGTGTTGTGAAGCGCAGGTGGTGGCGCGGGCACTGGGGGGCGGTGAGGGCAGAGAGGGAGTTCAGTCTCTCCCAGCGGAGTCTCTTTTCCTCTCGATCATCCCGATCATCAGGGTAACCTCCGCCGCGCTTGCCACCCGCCTGCCAGTGATCCTCACGCCATCCGTCGCGCCACTCGCCCTGCCAACTGCTCCAGGTGTCC